GACGAATGGATAAGCAAAATATGACACATACACACCACGGGATACTGCTCAGCCAGTGGGAGAAATGAAGTCGTAATACCTTCATACACATGGAACTGGGAAACATGGTGAGTAAAATAAGTCAGTCACAAAAGGGCAAATACTGTATGGTTTCATTTATATAAAAACCAAGAGGAACTCATGAAATATTATTCAAAAGTGACATTATGCTTAAGTGAAGTATTTCAGTCACAAAAAGACAAATACTGCATAATGCCACTGTTATAAAAGAGGACTGACACAGGGGTTGGGGGGAGACTGAGAAAGGGGATAAATAATGTACACTGCATTGAAACAGATGAGGGAGAGAACTGTTTAAAAGGGATATATGATCAGGTATTATTGTCATGACAGGAGTCCAGAATGAAGGCAGCATAGTGGAGTGGACTTAGTGGAGGGATTGTATAACAAAGAATTTTTCTTTTACTTTTCAAAGAAAAGAGAGAACTAAGGAGGAGGGGTGGGCAGGGAGAAAAGTGCAACAATGAATGAATGGAAATCCAAAGTCTCTGTAAACTTTCATTAAAATTAATTTTAAAAAAGAAAGAAAGGACAAGTGTATACAGAACAAAGTTTATTTGTTACCAAGAGCAGACGGGACAGGAAAAAAAGAGAGTTAATAGTGATGAAAATATGCCATTGATAAAGGATATAGGATTTTACTATTTGATTATTGTAAAGACGGGCAGTCTCCTCATGTATGATTTACTGCCTCTGAAAGGTCAGCTATGTGTCCGTTCTGACTCAGTGGTACGTAACAATAAGTTTCAGTTTCTTTGGAAGTTTAGGTCATGCGTTATCCAGGTAAATGGTCTCATAGTGTGTTTGTTGTGGGTATGTGGTTTCAGGCAACAAATCACAGAGGAGGAGACTGCCCATCTTTCTCCTGTGGAGCACTAGTGGATTCAATCTAGGTGCCTTTGGGTTGGCAGCACAGCTCCTTCCAGCTAGGTCCTCAGAGCTCCCTGAGGCCTAAGTTTAGTGCCTCTGTTTGACCTCTTAGTTCTAAGCATAGCACCTGAGGTCTTAAAAGTTAACGTTTGGTCTCTATTAATCTGAATGGCACCAGCATTCAGCCTGTCCTGTAGCCAGAAACCAATCTTTCGGCTCTCTCATTCCCACCCATCATCCAATCCATTACCCAGGAAAAAAACCCCACTGTTGTCCAATTGATTCCAACTCAGCAATCCTCCGTCAGGTCTCTGAGGCTGTAAATCTTAATGAGAGGAAACTGCCCTTTCTTCCTCTGAGAAACTAGGGGATTTGACCGCAGACCTTTCAGTGCAGCACGGTACATGCTACATCACCAGTTGTTCTTGTCTACGTACTCTGCCTTCACCTAGTTCATGGTCACCATCACCTCTTGCCATCTCCTGAGCAGCCTTCTCAATGGTCACCCTGGGTCCATCCTGCTCTCCTTACTCCTCTCCTTCTATACAAAGTCACATAACTCTTTCAAAGAACACAGACCTGACCCTGTCACTCTCACCTCCTTCCCACCATGCTTTTCTCCTGAAAACACTCCAATGGCTTCCCACTTTGTGTGAGAAAAGGCAAAACCACATTAAAGTGACTTTCAAAGTCTTACCTGCCCAAGTCCCTTTCATTTCTCTAGCTAAACTTTCAACCATGTACCCTTATACTCTTGAGTTCCAGCTTCCTCTTTCCATCAAGTTTGCTTCATTCTACCTCAGGACTTTTACACAGCCACTGTGATGGCACCTTTCAACTTGTAAATGCCTTTGCATCCTTCATCTCTCAGTGGGGAGGTCACCTCCTCAAGGATTACCTGCGTCTCTTCAGCAGCACTTTTCCATCAGCGTGGTTGTCGGCTCACTGTCTTTCTTGTCTTTCTTTCCCACTAGAGGGTAACTAGCAGGAGGCAGGGGCTACAATGTCATCTGTGCTCATCATCAAACTCTCTGGATGTGAACAAAGAAGGAGAGTGTCCCAGCTGGCACTGGCAGTCATCCTGTGACTGAGGAAAGGCAGTTGAGGTGTGAAGCTGCCTAGCGACCTCGGGAGATGCTCACTTACAGAAGCAAAAGGCAAACTTTCTGCATTTAAAAAAGAATAGTAATAAAAAAAAAACAGAGACAAGGACACAGAGAAGAGATGGAGATGGAAGAGAGGAAGACCCCAAAGAGCACAGTAGGAGCTGGTGTTCTAAGTGGTAGGAATGAATCAGAACATGTTAGAGACAGAAGGATTTAAGATTCCATGGTACTTTTGTGACCCAGTGTGTGTCTTTCCAAACATTCAGGAAAGCCCTCTGCACATCTGGGTGTCTCATGCATGAGAGACTCTTGACAAAAATGAAAAGAAAGAGAAGGTACCATGTCCTGGTCGTTTGTCCTTGTTCCCCCCACTGCTAAAGGGGAAACAAGCTGAGGAAGGCAGGTAGCCTTTGGCTACAATGAATCAACCTGGACTCTGGTTGGTCTGGATGAAAAGGGAATTTATTGAGGGCCCCGCAGACAGATAGTATGATCTACCAGACATGTAAGTGAAAACACTTCCAGGTGATTCCAACCCCAACCATCAAGTCACCTTCCGCTGACAAGCAGTCCCCACCACACCCTGCCTGAATTCTTGACCCACATTGTCCATAAAGATAATAAAATGGTCATTCTATAGCATTCAACTTTGGGGTGTTTGTTTTGCAACAGTGATAGAAACCAGAACATTTCTCTACAAGCTACCTGTACACAAGATCTTCTCTCAGGGTCTGCTCTGGGGGAAATTCTAACGAAAAGGTTGGGGGGAATCCCAGATATCCTCCTGAAAGTTCCATTTCCAAACTTAGGTTAGTACTAATGAAAGTCATCTCATTTCAATGACCCCAGACAGACCAACACTGAGGTCTACTCCTGTCCAGTTGGTGACCTCTATTGGCTCTGAAGGCCATATGTAAACCTTTACCAGAGGACACTGGTAAACCACCAGCCTTTTCATCAGTCTAACAGGGACAGAGCTCCACTACCAGGACACTTGGGATTTAAACAGAAACTCGGCCTACCTCCCCCACTGCCCCTCTGGGTGCTGAACCCAAGGTGGAAGAGGGCTGTTGAAAAAGAGCAGAGCATGAGGCTGGCAGTCAAAGCATCTTAAGTTTTATCTCTTTCCACCCCTCTGACCTCAGTGACCACATCCACCAGAAGGTGTCACTGGTTACGTGGCCCTAGGCTTTGCATCCAGAAGGCCTGACTCATTTTCTTTTTTAAATTTTTTTATTATTATTATTTTGTGTGTGTGTGCTGTCAAATCAGATCTGACTGGTACAAGAGGATATTGCTCCTCCTTCTCCGGCAGAGCATCTGGTGGATTCGAACCGTGTACCTTTGGGATTGCAGTGCAGCTTCTTGCCACTAGGCCATCAGAGCTCCCCTTGCCTGACTCATTTTCAGTGAGCTCTGGTGGCATAGTCATAGCTAGTTGCACGTCTTTGGTGGTTCGAATCCACCAGGAGCTTCATGGGGAGAGAGATGGGCAATCACCTCCCGTTGAGATTCACAGCACTACAAATCCAATAGACGGTCATCTAAAAGTCCAAACCGAGTCAAGAGCAAAGAGGATTTCTTTTTAGCACCTTGAACAGGTGCTCTGGCCTCTCTGAACCTGAAGGTGAAGGTATCAACTTTCTGCTGGTGCTGGAAGTCCATAGGCGAACAGCGTGGAGGTTTAGGGTTGTGGCACGAGAGTGGGTCCAACTCTATACTCCCATGACTTGTGACTGTTGCTCAAGGAGGCACAGGGTGTATGCCAGGATTCAAACCCTCACCAGTCACCCTTGGGCGGGGCTTGAGGCTCAATGTCAAGAAGACAGATTCTCACCAGTGGGCCAACTGGCAGCATCAGGATGGATGGTGAAGAGATTGAGATTGTTCACAGCTTTAGTTTGTTTTGCTCCACAGTCAACACACTCTTGGCACCAGTAGCCAGGAAATTAAAAGGCGCATTGCCATGGGAAAGTCTGCTGTTGGGGACCTCCCAATGGTGTCTCTCTGGAGACTAAGATGCGTCTGATACAGGCCATGGTCTTCGCAATCACTTGTTATGCATCAGAGAGTTGGACAATGACCAAGAAGGACAGAAGGAGAATTGATGCCTTTGAGCTGTGGTGCTGGAGAAGAAGAGTATTGAGGGTACCATGGACTGCTAGGAAAACAAACAGATTCATCCTGGAAAGGGTTAAACCGGGGTGACTCCTTGGAGGCAAGGATTCTGAGGCTCCATCAAACATACTTTAGAGAGGGACATCATGCTTGGGAGGGTGGAGGGACAGCACAGTAGGGGAAGGCCCTCTATGAGGTGGATTGATTCAGTGACTCGGGTAATCAGAATGGGTGTATCGGAGACAGTGCGATTGGCACAAGACAGCAGAGTTTAGGGCTGTTGTACATAGGGTCTCTATGAGTCGCAAGGGACTCGACGGCACATAACAACAACCACCACCTTGCATAGTTGTTCTGTGGTATAAACAGGTTCAGGATTCACACATATATGCAAACAGTGTTTACAGTAGGAACTGATAGAGTCCACACCAGATTCTAGGTATTACTGTCGCTGTTATCGTTGTTACATCAGTGGCGTTAGCGGCTCCACGGTGGGACCCGCCAGCACCCCCAGTTTTGCTGACTCATTCTCGCCGCGCAGGGAGCCCCCTCCCGCGGTCCTGAGTCACCCCGGAGTGTGCGTCACCCGCGCCCCTTCCGCCCCACGACCTGCAGACTCACCCTGAGTCAGCCCGCCCGGGCGTTTCCACTCCCCGAGGCCGCGAGGCGCAGGGCAAGCGGCGGGGCGCCCCCCGGCGGGGATCCGGGGTCCTGCGCCACGTCTGTCGGCGCTCAGAGAGCCAGGGGGGCGCCGGGCGTCAAACAGCGCGAGTGGGGCCGGACCATTGCGGGAACGGGGGGAGACGGGCCGTGCACCCTGCCCGGAACCCCCGCCGCCCGCGCGGAATGGTACGGCCCGGCCGGAGTTAAAACCCGGGAGGCGGCGCGTCCCGTGGCAGCAGCGGCGGCGACGAGGTGATGGGGCTACGCGCGGGCGGAGCACTGGGCAGGGCCGGCGCGGCCCGGGGGGCGCCCGAGGGGACCGGGGCCGGCGGCGGCGCTCAGGGCGGCAGCATCCACTCGGGCTGCATCACCGCGGTGCACAACGTGCCGCTCAAAGTGCTCATCCGGCCCCTGCCGTCGGTGCTGGACCCGGTCAAGGTGCAGAGCCTGGTGGACACGATCCGGGTGAGGCCCGGGGTGGCAGTGAGGGCTGGGGGAGGGGAGAAGGAGAAGGGGCCACTAGACGTGAGATGGGACAATTTCCGGTCTCTGCTGGAGCTGAGCATTTGCTGTGTGACCTTGAGAAAGTGAGTAGGCCTCTCTGGGCCTCTGTTTCCTTACTTAAGAGTCGAGAAAAAGATTAAAATAATACCTGAGAACTCTGATAAAGGGAACTCTGGTAGCCTAGTGGGTAGGGGGAGCCACGCGACCAATACAAAGTCGTCCGGTTCAAATCCACCAGCTGCTCCATGGGAGCAGGATGGGCAGTCACTTCCCGGACCATTTACAGCCACTGAAAACTCGCTGGAAGGTCAGCTATGAGTCGTTTCCCTGATGACAGCAGTCACGTGAGTGAGCTCTTAAAAAAGTAGTGTTTATAATGATGCAGGAGCTGCTCTAAATGCTTTACTTCCTCATACCAGTCCTATGACATAGAAGCTTCTACTCGACCCCATTTTACAGAGGAGGAAATTGAGATGCAGGAGGATTAAGCCACCTGTCCAAGAGGAAGTGGCCAGGATTCACACAAGGCAGCATGGCCTCGGTGCCCAGCTGAGTGACCACAACTCTATTTGTTGTTGCTTCTCTAAAGCAGGTCGCATCTGCCAGAGGAGAGTTGTGTGACCTGAAACTGGGCCAGGAGGATGGTGCCCCTCCCTGAGGGCAGTGTCCAGGCATGCCTGCAGGAGCTTTCATACATGTTGCTAGGAGGGGCTTCTGGAAAGAGATATCGATGCTGGGAAGGATGGAGGGTTGGTGAAAGAGAGGATGACCCTCAACCAGGTGGATTGACACAGTGACTGCCATAGTGGCCTCTCGTGTGTCAGGAAGTGTGAAGATGGCACAGGATAGGACGAGGTTCAGATCTGCTATTCATAGGGTCGCTATGAGTCATACTCGCCTCTGTGGCACCTAACAACATTAGGCAGGGGCCTTCCGTGAGGAGGAGAGTTACCAAGCAGATTTGACCACAAGCCCCCTTCTCCAGACCCTTGGAGAATGACTAAGGTCTCCAGCCAGCCTAGTGTCTCCAGACCTAGACTCTGCATTGGCTGTTGGCTCTAGAAGGATCCTTGGTGGCACCATCGTTAAGCAGTTTGGTTGCTAACCAAAAGGTCATGGGTTCAAACTTGCCAGCCGATGCCTGAGGAGACAGAGGTAGCAGTCAACTTCCAGATGGGAGTTCCTACAGAGTTCTGTGACCCTTGAGTTGGAATTAACACTGGATTTTGCGTTTTGTTTGGAGTCCTCTCAGGGCACTTGCTTCCCTAGAAATCTATGGGGACCTTACTCCATTCAGATCTTCCTCTCTTCTGAGGTTTGTCCTCCCATAGTGCTCATGTCCATCTGAGATTACATTTATTCATGAGATGTACCTTTATTCATGGCCTGTTGTCTGTCTCCTCACCTCATTCATGTGTCTCCCCCCACCCCAGTAACATTAAGTTCTTTTTTTATCATTTTTTTAATTAATTTTAATTAAAATTTAGAGACTTTGGATTTCCATTCATTGTTGCACTTTTCTCCCTGCCCACCCCTCCCTCAACAGTAGGCTGAGCCCTTTTCACTGCCCATCATCCCAACCTCCTTTGCCTCCTCCCCTTTTTGTTTTTAAGGGCTTTTAATATAATGAAATGACATTGAACCCACCTGGATAAGTAGGATAATCTCCCCATTCCAAGATCTCTCATCATATCTGTAAACTCTTATCTTGCTACATAAAGTAACATATTCATAGGTTCCCAGATAGGTCCCCTCAACATGTCCCAAACCTGTCTGTCTCTCTGTCCCTATCATCCCTCATCCAGGGATATCCTTGCATCATTGTTCTGCCAACTCATGTCATGTCCCCAGCACTTAGCACAGACCTAGCCTGGCATTGAGATGGAACCCAGCGATGACAGCTTTCTCCATTGTGGGCCAGACACTGTCAACACAGCCCTGTGAGATGTCTTGTGCCCATTTAACAGATGAGGATAAATGCTGTTCAGAGAGTTAGGGTCATTTCCTTGAGGTCCCAGCTGCACAGATCTGCTGGGATTGAGGTTCAGTTTGCTGGATTCCAGAGCTCATGATGATTAAGCCTTTACTGGCTGTGGAACTAATGGCTAACTGGACCCAGCTAAGCCGCACAGTAAGTGAAAGCTCACGGGCCGGTATCAGGAGACTTGCAGGTAGAGGAGCTCCATTTTCAGTTCTCACCTCAGGCAGTCCCTACTTAAAGGACAATCTGCTATCCACTGGTTGCCCAGATCTCTAACAGGAGTCAATTTAAATTCCCTTCTTCCTCTCACCCTCACATCTGCCCCTTTGCATATCCCCTCATGTCTGCCCTCTACACACGTCCCTAACCTGGCTGCCTCTCTCTGCTCCTACCATACCCGTATCCAGCCCAGTGTCTGCTCCTGGGCGTCATTGTCTTCCAGGCTTCTGCCTTTCCCCACCTCACGAAGCCTCTCCTTTTCTCCCAGGACAGCAGGATACAGTGTGTAAACCTCTAGGGCCTATCCTCACTGCTTTTAGAAACAAACCTGCATGCTTCGATGGCCCCTCCCAACCTCTCTGACTTCTAGTCCTTGAACCCCGAGTCCACTCCAGTCCTACTGGCCTCCTTGTGTGCCTCCAGCATAGTGAATTTATCCTGACCCCAGACCCTCTATACCTGCTGGTTGTTGTGGATTCAGCTCTGTCCCCCTAAAACTGTATGTTGTAAATCATCACCCTTCTACACTCAATTCTAACTGCCATTGAGTCAGAACCCACTCATAGCTGACCCTCTGGCGGGTTTCTGAGGCTGTAAATCACAGGGGAGGGGGGGTGCTCATCTTTCAAAAAGCGTCTGTTGGATTTGAACCATCAAAGAAGTATGGCCTTTTTGTTCGCAGAAAAACGGCCTAGGGTCTAGGCCACCAGAGCTCCTATATACATGTGTATATAAACCCATCGAGGAAGAGCGTTTTCTTGCTATATTAATAAGACCATATCAGTGTCGAATAGGTCTTAAACCAATCACTTTAGAGACATAAAAGGTGCAAGCATGAATGGGAGAAATCATAGATGTTGTATGGGGATCACCAAGAAACAAAAAGAAAGGAGTTTCCTCTCCCTCAACCTGGCACCCTGAAATTGGACTCTAACCTCCTCTTGTTTTGTGCCAGCGAGCCCATAGCTGACCCTCCAGCCGATTTTCAGAGTCAGTTAATCACATAGGAGATTTCCCATCCTTCTTCCATAGAGCAGTTGGAAGATTCAAACAGCAGGCCTTCAGGATTGCAGCACGGCTTCTTACTACTAGGCCACCAGAGCTCCCTTCTGATCTCCTAGGCTGCAAGAAAAGAAATGTTTTTTAAAGCCACCCACTGTGATAGTTTCACTATGTTGTTATTGTTTTTGTTGGGTGCTGTCAAGTACAACTTACAGCGACACTATGGACAAAAGATCTGAACCCTGCTCTATCCTGCGCCATCCTCACACTTCCTGACACCCAGGAGCCCATGGTGGCAGTCGCCATGTCGGTCCACATGGCGGAGGTCCAGCACCAAATAACTAAAGGGCGCCTGGTGCCATATTCCATAACGCATTGCCCTGCTGACCCACAGGCCGGTTCAGACCCTGCTGGTTCAGATCCACCAATGGCTTTGAACCCTTTTTACCGGAATAAAGTTGGGCAGGCTCCTTCCACTAGCTTCCAGCCTCAGGAACCCGATGGAAGGGTGCTTGAGGCCGAGCCAACTCCACGGCCAAGAGTTTAAAATGACGAAGAAACTGGTCCCTCTGCTTAGAGTACTCCTCCCTCAGAAGTAGCATGTATAACACTGTGGAAGCATTTTGCATATCCTCTTTTTTAAAAAATGTTTTTAAATTATTAGAGTGTGTGTGTGTGTGTGTGTGTGTGTGTGTGTGTACTGTCAAATCAGATCTGACTGGTACAGGAGGAGATTACCCCACCTTCTCCAACAGAGCATCTGGTGGATTTGAACCGCATACCTCTGGGATTGCAGTGCAGCTTCTTGCCACTAGGCTACAAGAGCTCCCAATCCTACCTCTTTTCACCCAGCAGCTCTGGGAGGTGATTCTGTTATCCTCATCCCCATCTGGGCAGCTGAAATACAAAGAGGTCAACTGGCTAAGGTTACAGAGCTGTTAGGGAACAGCACTGACATTTGAACCCAGGAAGCTGGGCTTTTACGGACTCTGTCCTTCCAAGCAAACTCCTGAAGGTTATTTCTGGTCACCGCGGAGAGGCCAGTAGACCGCCAGCCTGGCTATGGCCACCCTCCTGATTGCTTTTATAGCATTTATCACTCTCTGACTTTCACTTCTTTGTTCCCTCAGCCCCTCAGCAAGGCCCATGGAGTTTGGGGCTGTGCCTGTGGAGGTCTGAGCTGTTTCGTGTCATTCTTGGTATAGTGCAGAGTCTAGAACAAGGCCAGATCTGCAGTGTGCACGTATGTGGTTTCTAGAACGTTCAGAGATCACCTGGTTGGGGGAGAAGCCCTGATCGGTAGCATCTGCCCATTTCCCTGGTGGAAACACTCTCACTCTGGCTGATTTCCACCCCTGCCCCCCCCCCCCCCAAGCTACTAAGAGGACAGCAACCAGCTCACAAAATCCCTGAAGATTTCACAGTTGGTTTTTGTGACCCGTTGTGAGCACCCCGCTGGTGGGAGCCCCAACATGTTGACAGAGTCTGCTCTGCAAACTGTCCAGGGTTACACCATGCTCACTCACTCTGTGCTCCTTGTTTCCCAGGAGGACCCCGACAGCGTGCCCCCCATCGACGTCCTCTGGATCAAAGGGGCTCAAGGTGGTGACTACTTCTACTCCTTCGGGGGCTGCCACCGCTACGCAGCCTACAGCCAGCTGCAGCGAGAGACCATCCCTGCCAAGCTTGTCCAGTCCACGCTGTCGGACCTGAGGGTGTACCTGGGCGCCTCCACGCCAGACTTACAATAGCAGCCTCCACAGCACCGCTCACAGCCTGTGAGAACCCAGAACGCATATCTGGCCTCCCTCTGGCAAGGCCACGCACCGAGACGGCATCCTGGTCCTCAAGACGTGGGAGAAGAGGTACAGTGCAGTGGACAGGTCTCCCCAAAAGCTGAGTCCACTCCAGTCAAAGCATTTGATTGTCCATCTCTCCTTGGTGAGACAGGCGTGTGTCCTCTTCTGAAAACCAGGAGTCCAGGAGCGTGATGGGGAAGAAGACAACCTTGTTCTCACTGCCCAGCTACAGGCACTCAGTCACTTTTGTTCTCAGCAATGAAGCTTCCCCACTGATGAGGACGATGGCATTCACGGAATCCCATTCTCTGTCCTGGGAAAGATGAAGTGATCAACTGAAGTGTAAAGAAATGCAATGTAGATTGGACCCCCGGACAAGAAAAGGCACACATAGAAAAAGTAAAGAGCCGAATACAGTCTGGATTTTAGTTACCAGGACTGGACTAATATCGGCCAGAACGCAGGACCCAGCAGTGCTTCATTCTGTGACACAGAGGCTGCCCCAAGCAGGAGCAACCTTGCTGACCACCAGCTGGGAAAACACAGTGAAAGAGTCTTTTGATTTTGACAGATGAACCAGGGTTGTATAAGATGTTGGCACTGGGGCAAGATGGGTGGAGAGTTTGCTTAAACTCTGCACTATTTTTGCAACTTTCTCTGTAAATCTAAAATGATCCCAAGATAAAAGCGTATTTAATGAAACAAGGGGGATAGAAGGATATGGAAATGAGACTGATGGAGAGGAAGTGAGGGGAATGTGATTGCATTGTGGGTATTGTAATTCATGTTCTAAAACAAAAGGTGTATGAATGGTTGAATGGAGAACTAATTTGCCTTGTAAACACACACTCAGATCTCAATAAATAAAAATTAAAGAAAGAAGGAGGGGAGCAATTGGTTTATTAAACCAAAGTTCTCAAACTTCAGCAACATTAGTAACGTCTGTTGTTATTATTCACTGTTGAATCAGAATCAACCCACAGCTGACCCTCTGGCAGGTTTTCAGAGGCAGTTAATCGCAAGGGAGGAGATTGCCCATTTTTCTCCTCTGGAGCCGCTGATGGATTTGAACTGCATGCCTTTCGGATTGCAGCGCAGCTTCTTACCACTAGGCCACCAGAGCTCACTAGTAACAGCTTATTAAAACACAGATGGCTGGACCCCACCCCATAGTATCTGATACAATAGGACTGGAGGGAGGTCTGGTGGCCTAGTGCATAGGGAGATGCACTGCTAACCCAAAAGCAGCAGGTCTCTTGTGGTTCGAATCCACCTTCCACTCAGAGGAGATGAACTGGCTCCTGTCATTACAGGAGTTACAGGTTCAGAAACCACTGGAGTCTCAGCTGTGCGACTAAACTAAATGGGTGGCAGTGAGCTTTGAGGGTTGAAAGAGCAGAGCCTAAGAGTGTGCATTTCCAACAAGTTCTAAGAGGTGTGGCTGAGGCTACTGGTCTGGGACTGCAGGCTGAGAGCCACTGAGTTAGACTCACTATTTTAAATGCAGTGGCCTCCCTACTTCACCCCTCAAGGAGAGGAAAGAAACCTGTATGGGCTGGAGATAGATTTGGGTTCTGAGACCAGCTCTGCATTCACTTTGTCACCTTGGGCAAGTGCCTCCTCTCCTTTAGCCTCGTTTTTCCAAGCTGTCAAATGTTGTATCCCTAAACTGTGTGGTAGTGGTCAGGGAAGCCAGCAACATGCTCTGTCTACTCCAGTCAAATGAAGAGCCCCCTCCTTTCCCAGCTGGGCCTGGGGTGACAGCGAGGGCGATAACCCCGTACTGAAGGAAATTTCCTTCTTGCACAAGGTGTGTGAATGTCCACACACAGTATTGGGGGTGTCTGTCACTATGCTAGGCTCTGGGTAGTGGGAATACAACAGACAGAAGGGGAGTGAGTGACTGAGCCAGTTTACACTGCAGTTCTGCATTGAACCAGCAGGTGGAGGTGCTCTGTCACAGCAAAGCCAGGTCAGCCTGCTGGCAGAGCAATTACTGTTGAGAGAAGAGGCAGGAAGGCAGGCCAGTTAATCAGAGAGGCTGTGCATACAGACCAGGAAAGGAAGCCTGGTCACGAGTCGAGCCTCAGCCCTTGACCCATCTGTGTACACAGCATGACCTCTCCAGCCTTTTTCTCCACTGGGGGCGATCTTAGCCAGAGAGGTTTAGGGCCCAGTAAACACAGCTCTTGCAGGACATTTCGAGATCCTCCAGAATGTCGTGTGGTTTTTTTCTAGGCATCCATAATGCCCGGTGTCTCCTATCCCCAAACTGTCCTGGGAATTTCGATCCAGTAGGAGGGGACCCCTAATTGCCCTGGGACCACTCTCCTTCACAAAGCTGGTGGTCTGTGCTGTCCAGTCAGAACTGACTCACAGCAGCCCTTGCAGTAGGTTTTCAGAGACTGTAAATTGCATAAGGAGATTGTCCATCTTTCTCCCTCAGCAACTGGTGGATTCAAACCACTTACTTTTGAGTTGGCAACACAACTCTATCACTAGGCCACCAGAGCTCCCATTCACCAAGGAAGACTCTTAGAATATTTTTGTTCCACTAGTGGTATGTTAATATAGTCTGCTTTTACATGTTAAACTATTAAATATTTAACAAAACTTTAAAGGCAAGCTAAAGCCCCTGAAAGTCTCAGTCTCATCTGCCTCTTTGCCCAGGATAACTTTCACAAATTTAGGATTGATTCTTCCAGATTTTTTTCAAAATCTTGCTTGGAAGGGTGGAGGGACAGCATAGGAAAGGAAAACCCCAGATGAGATGGATTGATACAGTATCTGAGGCAGTAGTCGGGGTTGGTGTGTCGGATTAGTGAGACTGGCTCAGGACAGGGCAGCGTTCAGAGCTGCTGTACATAGGGTATCCATAATGGCACATAACAAAATCATTCTATATTGGTTCTTTTATTTAAACCTATTATTTAGAGTCAACAAGACGGGGGGGGGGACTTTGTATTTAAAAGTCGGTTGTTATTATATTTTGGAGGAACATTCTTCAAAAGGGGTACAGCACTCTTCTGTCAGTATGCTGTACTGAGGTAACCTGGGGTCACTGATGCTGAAACATGTGCCACTGGGGTGTCAGATAGCCTAACGGTGGACAGTGTTTGGTGGAGCTCCCAGTTTAAGACAGCTTTGGAAGAAGGAGTGGCATCTACTTCCTAAACAACATGCCTCTGGAAACTCTATGAACTTTGATAAATAACGATTGTTATAAAAAGGCTTCAGGCCTTTTGTCCCTAGGGTCACTATGAGTCGTGCTTGACTTGCCAGCAATCAACAACAAGAAGTAATATATTGTTTTATGCCCTTGAGTAGACTGACTCACAGCAACCCTATGAACACCAGCTCTGATCTCTGTTCTATCCTGAACCAACCTCACCGCTTCTGACACACCTGTCCCATTGCCAGTCAGTGTGTCAATCCATCCAAGGTCTTCTGTGCTGGCCCTCAACCCTTTCGAGCATGATGTCTTTCTCCAAGGACTGGACCCTCCTGGCCACGTGCCCAAAATGTTAGATGGAATTTCAAAATCCTTGTTCCAAGGAGAGACTTGGTTTCACCTTCTCTAGGGTAGACCTGTGTGTTCATTTGGCAGTCCAAGGTATGTCCGATACTCTTCTCCAGCACTACAACTCAAAGGCATCAATTCTTCCTCTCATTCTTAGTCATTGTCCAGCTTTCAGATGCATAGGAAGCGATTATGAAGACCATGGCCTGGAACATGGTACTCTCTAGACTACCATCATTGCTCTTTAGCTTTTTGAAGAGGCCCCTGACAGCAGACTTTTCTAAAGCAACTCATATTTTGATTTCCTGACTGCTGGTGCCAAGAACTTTGATTCTGGATCCAAGCAAGATGAAACTGTTAACAACTTCAGTCTCCTTTCCATCTACCATAATGTTGCCTGCCATTTTGACCTGGTATGAAAATCTTTGTTTTCTTAATGTTGAGATGCAATCCATATGAGAGACTTCAGTCTTTGACTTTCTTCAGCAAGTGCATTAACTCCTCCTCCGTTTCAGTGAGAAAGGTTGTGTCATCTGCATAATGCAGGTTGTTGATGAATCTTCCTCTAATCCTGAGGCCACATTCTGCTTCACAAAGCCCAGCCTCCTGAATGGAAGTAGTTTATTTCAGTAAAGAGTAGTTGTCTATTTATTTTGTGGGTTGCAGTTCTCTGTGGGCAGTGTGCCCTGGCCACCAGGCCTAGACCTGTCTGCCTTCTCTCAGCAGCCTCCCTCCTGATCTCTGCTCAGATGTCACCTCTTCAGAGGAGTCTTCCCTGCCCACATGTCCAAACAAGACTCTCACCCTTATCATTCTCTATCCTCTCTGAGTTTTATTTTCTTCCTGATGTTTCCCACCCTCTGAAATGCTCTTCTGTGTTTGCTTATTATGTGTTATGTCTTATCTACCAGGATATAAACTGAAGGTAGGGAGTTGATAGGGTGGCTTATCACTGTAGGCCCAGGACCAGAGACAGTGCCTGATAGGTGTTCAAGAAATATTTGCTGAATGAGTAAATCCATGGAAGTCTGAGCATTCCTCTTAATTATTGTGTGGAGTGAGTTAGTACAAACACAGCCATGTATTAGTCATTCTCTGTCAACAGACATTGGGAAGTTTACGGTATTTGCTGCTGTGACCGCCCTGGACTATCACTCTCTCTGTTCCTCAGTTGAATCTTGGGGCAGAACTGCCTGGCTACTGCATTGGGCTCATTTTCAACCACTACAGTGCTTGCAATCAGCTCTCCAAGGTGGCTCTCCAAGCACCCCCAACTAGCTGAGTGTGGAAGGCTGCTTTCCTTCCTGCAACCTGTGAGTCTCAACCTTTTTTTGGGTTATGAGCCGCCTGAGAATCTAAAGACAGTCATGAGTCTTTTTTTTTCCCCCTAAAAGAGCACTCAGATATTCGAGATCGCTAACTTGATGGCCTC